GAAAAATGGGCAATTTTTTGCTCATTTTTGGCCCCCCAGCCCTCCCAGGAGCACTCTATAAGCTTCCTAAAGGCTATCCATACCCTTTTTTAAAATGAAAAAATGGGCCTATTTTTGTGAAAAATGGGCAATTTTTTGCTCATTTTTGGCCCCCCAGCCCTCCCAGGAGCACTCTACAAGCTCCCTAAAGCTATTCATGCCTTTTTGGGGGGAACAACAGGCCCGTTTTCATGAAAAACGGGCTGTTTTGGGGAGGTTTGCAGAGTGCAAAAACTTTTTTTTATTGTCCTCTTCAAAACCTTGCTGGGTCTTATACTCCGATGCGTCTTATACTCCGAAAAATATAGTACGTAGATGGACTGCAGTTAGGGAGGCGTGGAAAATGGCTTCTCCAACTTTTGTGTATTATTCTTTTACTCATTTTACTCTGTTATGATTTGTAGCATCCTCTGCTAACTACATCAGATCCAAAACATTTGAGGGTACTTGTCCATTACATCTTTCTGCAAGTAGGGGAAATCTGGAATGCACTGCTATTCTTCTGGAATCTGGTGCTGATCCTAATGAAGTCACTAATGATGCCACCACACCCTTATTTCTAGGTGAGTATATTGTTATCAAAAAGTTTAAAAGTTACACAGGGAAAAATTCCTCAAACATAGATATTTCAAATTTCTTCTTTTCATAACTTTAATTGTTCTAGCTGTGTGCTTTGGCATAAACAAATAAAAATATAAAAATAACAAAAATGCCATCATTACTTTATATTAATACAAAGTTTCAGCTAGTCATAGTTCTTGAATATACTGCAAATATAGCTGTTATTGGATTGCTTCCTTTATCATTGTGCAGGAAACACAAATCCAACTATGGCAAGTGCATGGACACGTCTGTGCATTTTTGTACTGTGTAGTTTTCCATTTTCCCCACCAGTGTTGTCCAGTGCTCTTCAGTTTGAAGTGGTTCACAGTTGGTTCTATTTTAGAAAGGTTTTGCTTTTTGTGGATATGATGGATATTTGGCTTTATATTTTCAACATAGCTGTTCATTCTTGAGAGTAAACTATATTTGGGTTTTTGAACAGTTTTTGAAAGCAAGATTTGTAATTCAGTACATATGCATGTGTTATACATTATGATTAACTGTTTAAAAGGGCCAAACGCTCACAAAGAATAGGATCACCTGTAGCACTAGGACTGAAGGAATGATTGCAAAGTAAACGGCACTGTATATATGGTCCATTTTTTCCCCCTTATGTTTTGAAGATTCCTCCCTCCCCCATTTGAATAATAATGAGTCTATTTTAGCGCTTTGATAATAAATTTTGGATATTTCTTGTATCAGGATGCCTGACCAGTGTCACTGATTGTTGGCAGTTACATTCAGAAGAGTTCTGGGTGCCACATAACAGGCTCTGTATTAGGGATTGACTTTATCCTTGTCACTTGAATTGGTACTTGTTGTGGATGCTTCATCACTGGAGTTTTTAAGAAGAGACTGGACAGTCACTTGTCTAAAATGGAATAGGATCTCCTGCTTGAACAGGGGGCTGGAGTAGAAGACCTCTAAGGTCCCATCCAGCTCTATTCTGATACGCAAGGTGTTTATTTTATTTTGAACTAAAACCAGGGTAGATTATACTCATCATCTTTCAAATATGTTTCTTATTTCCCACATGTTATTTAATACACCTGTTCCTATTTTTCAGGCAGGAAACTGCCTCCTTACAACATCAATCCGTGTACAAATGGGCAAAATTCTGTTGGTCATTTAGTTTTTTAGCTGAAAGGGAAGAAAAGGTGTCCTTATTTAAGTTCTTAAACTACACCAAAGTTTACTCTCAAAGACTGAATTGGAAAGGCAAGGTTGTGAAACCTATTCAGTAATTGAACAATAGTCACAGGGCTAATGGAAATGACAATCTTTAAATAGGAAGGAATCAATTGCTATGTGTGAGCCGGTAGGTGTCAGTGTTATCCAAGGAGCAGCAAAATGTTGAATTGATTTTAAACATCTTAGACTTCAGTGTACTCTTATAAATTACAGCACTTTTTTCAAAAATTCAATGATGCTTTGGCTAAGGAAGAAATTCTTTACTGGAAACTTAGAATTGTGTAATTGGTCTCTGGATAGGTTGCAATAATATCAGAATATTGGTAATGAGTAGGGGTGTAGGGAAGTCACAAGGCTAGAGTTGAGAGTGATTATATGCTCTGGAAGGAATAGAATTTGTCTCAGTGCACCTTGGACTGATAGCTGTCTTTGGATATGTTTGCATTATGTCTTAATTTTTTATTGGTTATCACTGTGATCTTTTGGCTAAAGAATTAGATTTATTGCAGAGGAAATAAAACAATGGATTTGGAGGCTGCCAAGAGAAAAGACTCATTAGCTATACTAGCTTCAGAATTAATAATTCTTTACTTGTCAAACTGAATTCTAGCCCACAGGCTAGTTTTAACCTGCTAGAACTATAGTTCTCTATTACGAACAATTGTTTTTTAATTAATTAGAGATTTCCTGATGGATTAGAGATCTGTAATAGATTAGAATGTTCTTACACAGAACTTTTCAATTTATCCCCGATATCAACATTGCTAGCTGGTTAGTATAGAGCAGTGGTTCCCAATGTGGGGCCCATGCCCCGCAGGGGGGCAATTTGATTTTTAATGGGGGCAATTTGAATCTTGTTTAAACCAAGTTAATGGCCTTTTAGGCATCCTCCGCATGAGTAGAGTTCACCTTTTGAGTAAAGTAAGGATTATATGTCCTGGGGGGAGGGGCATCGGGGTTTTAGAGATGCTTAGGCGGGGCATGGCCAAAAAAAGTTTGGGAACCACTAGTATAGAGTAATATTGCTGTGCATCAGTAGGTATAAAAGAACTCTTTTTCTTTCTTTACCTCAAACTTACAGTAAAGCAAACACTATTCATTCCCCAATCTAGAATTCAGAGTGCTGATCAATGTAAAGTAGCTATGGTGCTGGTCTGGTTTATAAAATATGATGATAGAAAATATATTCCCCAAAGGTTAATTTTATATTGCATGTAAGTACTAGTCAGTCTTGAATTATGCAAAATATGCCTGGGTTTCAAATTATTTATTAAAAGGAAATTTGATGTTTTGATGTCTTTTGTTTGTTTGTTTCAAAGGATAAAAAGAGTGTTGTGTTTGTTTGAAAACAGAAACCTTTTTTTCAAAACTCCATTCAGAGCAAAGCATTACAAGAGTGCTCTGAAAATCAACCTGAAAGCCACAGGCTCTCAATTGAACTTGGCTACTTCTAGAAATCCTGTCCAACATCTCTTTACTGTTGTAGCTTTTGTTGTTATTTGGTCTCAGCCACAATACAATCTATTTTCAAAGAGTTCCTGACTTTGCATCTTCTTGATGTGTGAGGATTTCGGATTATGGAGTTAATACATCAGTAGGAGAGTCAAGTCTACATGGAGAATTAAAAGTGATCAAGGCAAATTCCTGGCTTAATGTGAAATAGAAACTGCTTTGGCAATGCAATAACCAGATAGGCAAAAACCTGGAAAGAAATAATATATTTTCAGTTCTTTCTTTGTTCAACTTTTTAAGGTCATACAAGTTTCTTTAAAAATGCTGTCCTTAACAATGCCTTTTAAACTTTTCCACCTGTATAGGATGGTAATGAACCTCCACAATTTATAAATTGACTGATTGATTAGAAGCACTTACCACTGATGGACCTTGATCCTCTACTCACCACTTTTTTACTGTAATCTTGTTGCACACACAAACACACACACAGACACACAGACACACAGACACACACACACTGCTTATGTATATCAATTTCTCTCTTTTCCCATTCTGTACCTCCCGTCTCAATTCTCATCTGGAAGATCATCTGTCTCGATAAAATTTGCTATATTAGAGGGAATAGAATAAAAAGAACCTTTCCAGTTATAATTTTTCTACTACTGAACTGAACATTGGGTGCAATCCATAGAATCTACTTGACTTTTAAGTGCATATCTAATATAGTATTTTCTTATTTTTAAAAAAAGTTTTCATTTTCTTCTTGTGGGATAGAATAGCACAAACAATATAAGCATTCAGGATTTTTTTTTCCGTTTTAGAAATGTATTCTCTGAATATGTTTTTGGTCTGTTTGCACATTTCATATAATAAATATACAGTGCATGCAAGATATTTAAATCTTGTTGCTGTCTGATCTTGAATTGCCGATGAAGCTCCAGAAAATAATTGCAGTGATGCTGAAGTTTCCAAAACAGCCTTAGTACGAATGAAAAACTACTGAATAATAATTGCATTTGTTGCCAGAGATGAGATCTATGACTTGCTGCTAGGATGATAAGTTAATATCTCTTTCTAGTTTTTTTTAATTAACTGAAAGCCTAATGAAAGAGGAATCTTAAACAGACTTATAAAATTATATATGGCAGCCAAAGGGATGCTTTCCATAGTGGGAGCAATATAGAAAAAGGGGGGGGGAGAGGAAAAAAACTTTCTTATGAACCCTAAAAATGGGCCTCCTTTAACAGGCATGTCTTCAGAAAGCCATCTCGCACATTTCTGAATAGTCAGACAAGTTACTCTTAATAGTAAGGCCCTAAGTGGAAGGGAAGGAAGAAATTATTTCCAATGCTCCCTGCCAGATTCTTACATGGAAACTCAATGGGGAAGCTGGCAGAAAGTTGTTCCTACTCCAACTGGATTTTTTTTGCCTGCTCTTGGTCATTCCTTTACTCTGTTTAGGTAAGAAAATATGTCTGAAATGATGACCCAGAGGGGTATGGGTTGTCTAGTGCATAATAATAATAATAATAGCTTTTAACCCATTCTTTGAAGCTGTTGAAAACCAACATACTAATGTGATTAAGCTTCTCCTTCAACATGGAGCCAATCTTAATGGATCCCACTGCTGGTCTGAATGGAATTCCTTGCACCAGGCTGCTTTTCAGGTAAGCTATAAATCCATAATTTCATTTCCACATGAATAAAGGTTTTACTCTTGTTCTCTTTAAAGAACAGGTTTGTGTAGTTTTTGCAAGCCATTTACTTTTAGATCTGTGACAGTGTAGTAAACTCAGATTAAATGCAAATGATCATCCTCAATATGACAAGAACTGAAGAGAGTATGAAACAATATAAATTTTAAATAATAAAAGTAGTACACATATTTAAGAAATGATCAGATATCATAAATGGGTCATAAATCCATTATTGAACAATAATTCATTTGAAATAATTGTTTTATTCCATTACACTGAGACCTTCAAAGAAATGGCATTTTGGTATTTAAAAGGTGAGTGGTTCCATGGATAGACTTAATCTCTTTAGTTCTTTAGTGTAGTAGACTGCATTCTGACATTTTGTGTGTGTGTGTGTGTGTGTGTGTGTATGTTCCAGCATAACTCTGGGACGCCTCCAGCCGTTTCAACCAAACTTGGTACACAGATTACTTAATCTCTGGAAAAAAATACTGTGGGAGTAAGACATCCCTAACACTCCTCAGGGTGTGTGTTCTGTTAAGATACAGCCTGATGTGCCTTAAAATGGCTTCTACTGTATAGTGCAGTGGAGTTGCCATGGCAACAGCTTCACAGTGCTCCACAAGGGGGCTCCCTCTGGCAAGGGGGAAAATCCAATATTAGGAATTACGTTTGGTCTGGAAATTTCTTCCCTATAAATAAATACCCGGACAACGTCATGTTTTCAGCTAGTACCTTTATATTCTACAGTTCTAAGTATGGTAATAGTTTTAATAATGACTTCTTTGGGTTGTGGTGGACAGTTCTTGTTGAAATCAACTGTAATATCTAAATATTCATATACAAGTGGGAAAGGCTTCTGCTTTCAAAAATCACTGTACTTCCTTATCTTGATTCAGCCCTTTGTTTCTGATCCTGTCCTATTTTGAATGAAAAAGCTAAGCTGTTAAGAGAATGTGACGGAGGAATTTAAATTCCCTTGCTCATTTTGCATGAGCAAAATGTCACAGAAACACCTGGATTTAAACCAGTGAGAATTCTAAGTAATGGGGACTTTTTGACTGGAATTTATAATTTTGATGAAATCCCTTTCATTTAATGCCTTTGTTTATTTATTTACCATATATGTCTTTTAGATCTTCCTAAGAGATCGTTAAGACTTTTAGTCATCCCACATCTGTAAAAACTCAAATCCTGTTTTGATTTAATCTATTGTTTTGAATTTTTTTAGGTTTTATAGCAAAACTGCCTCATTTCGTCAGTTATCCTGATGTCCATCTAGTCTTAAGCCAAAAAAATCTTACAGAGTCATTTTGTTTGTTTTTTCTCCCTTGAGAACTGCTTTAAAAACTCTTTTGTAAATCAATGTTTCACTTGAGCAGAATTAAATGTTACAAGAAACAAAAGGCTGTATTATAAAATGACAGTCCTCTAAATCTGTTTTGGCTTATATTTTGCCGGTATCCCACTGTGTGTTTTCAGTTGTCACTGGCAATATTATAATGGGTTAGCATCAGCTAAATTTAGCTTTAAGGGATCAAGGAACTGGCTACAAATAATAACCAAAGTGGAAAATTTTCAGTTCTGTAGCCATATTTAACAACCTATCTTTTCTCCCCATTCCAGAATAATTCTGAAATACTGAAATTACTTCTGGATGAAGGCGCCAACAAAGAATCTGTAGATGATTTTGGGATCACACCTTTGTTTATTGCTGCACAGTATGGAAAACTGGAATGCTTAAGGATACTTATATCATATGGTAATTTCTGCAAAACTACAGTCATCGTGGCTTTCATTAGTAAAAGCTGTGGTGAATTATAGCAGATAGATTATACTATTAGCGACTTATTTTTGGCTAAGAGTACTGATGTAGGACTGATTTGCAGAATAGAATGCCATGTGTAAAACAGTTTGAGTGGTTATACATCTCTTGTTGTATGATGAGACCAATTGATGTATCTGTGGTCAACTTTGCATGCACCCCCCCCCCCC